TCAGTCCCCCTGACCGCGCGCTACGGAAAACTCTGTTGAAAGCCTATATTTTTGGAAAGATATTATGTCGTATAATAAACAATTCATTCAGCGGAAAGTTGTGTAATACGGCTGGGCATTTTTACTCGTCAGTGTTTATTTTTCTCGCCTAAAGGCTCGAAAAAATAAAAACTGACTCGTAAAAATACCCAGCCGTATTACACAACTTTCCGCTGAATAACCTCTATATACTGAATAAGAAGCCAAAGCCATGTATTATATTGTCATAAAACACGAGCGGCAGGCGAGTGTTTTCTATATTTCTCAAGTGTTCTCAAATAAATCTTTCGTCTCGTGTTAGACTACTTGCAGCCCCTCTTTTCACTTCACTTAGGGTCCTTCGGGAGCGCGTTCGTAAAAATGGCCGTCGAACGAGAAGAGGTTGGGGAGAGAAAAACAGGCTGCAAGCAGTCTACATTCCCTCATACATGGTCTCTTCTAGTGATAATTGTTTGATTTGAAATCTACTTTTAGTTCCAGTCCATAGCTAAGCTATTTTAAGAGCGCTACCTGATGGTCAGTTCGAGTAACGTGATGTTGGAGCCTCGATCAGAATGAAATAAAAATAACTATCACAATATGGCACAAAACTACCAATATATTTCAATAAATATCATCAAGGGGCACAAGGAATCCTTCTCTTAGATCATCCTCTCGTGTACGAGTTACATAACATGAACAAACACTCGAGCGAGTTTTGGAGATAACTGGGAAAATCCTCGCCTTCATATGGCGAACTCGTTTCCATGTTGTAAACAAGGCGTTTTTAGGTTTGACTCAATGTTTTCAACGCTATATTTTCAGGTATGGTGACAAGGTACCTCGCAGTATTGGAGGCCGTCTGTTTGGTGTGGTGTGGATCAATGTCGGTCTTGTCATTCTCGCCATCTTTATGGGTATGATCACTGCCTCACTCAGCAGTAACGGTGTCGAGCAAGTCAACAATCTTTACGGAATGCCGGTAAACATAGATTTCTAGTTTGTCTAACAGTAGGGCCCGGACACAACATTGCTGACGTGGCAAGCAAGTTCTGATGTTTACAATAATTATTATATAACCAAAATGGCGATGGCAGGCGGATGACAAAGAAAAAACCGCAACTGTTACTTTTGTTCCCAGAGGAAAAAAATGTGGCCGAAAAGGGCTTATAATTGTGCCATACCATTGCCCGCAATGCTGCAGACACAACTGCAAGTAAAATGTTTCTCGCAATCTACAGAACTAGAAAGCAATTCTACTTCTGTAACATTGCGGTAGTCGCGCGCAGCATTGCCGCGCACAATCAGTTGTACCGTGTGTACATGTCTGGGCCTTGAGGCAACTAAGACGAAACACAATATAGACGTACTGTCGCCTTTTAGTACTAAACGAATTTTGTCACATTTGAACCTAGTTATATGGCCTAAGCTCCCACGAGTCTCCTGTAGCTCAGTGGTAGAGCGACCGACCGGTGTGTGGAAAGTCATAAGTTCGACTCCTGTTGGCAGAACTCGGAAAACATTTTTGTGTCACTGACTGATAAAACATCTTCCTCATACTAAACGAATTATTTCTTTACATACTCTCTTCTTTTGGTTCTTCTTTGGGATTCTTAACAAGTTTATGTTCTATTTGCAATATTTGTTTGTTCATTTACAGTGTCCACAATTAGTACAGCAGTGCTTAATCCTTTGACACTTAAATCAAGTTGTTTATTTTTTATTTAGGTCGCAGTTATGAATGGTTCTGCTGAGCAGCAGTTGGCTATTTTACAAAACGCTGAAGTACATGGTAAGATCCTCAAAGATTACATGTTGAAAATTTTGAAAATGTAGCCGGATTTTAGAAGTACAGTAGAAGCTCCAGTAAGCGGACACAGGAATCGGGAATCAGAAAAAGTGTCCGCAACCGGGTGACTGGAGCTGGCCGCTAACGGAAATGCGTAAATACAAAGATTGTATTAGCTAGAGTTTAGTCAAGGTGGCCGTAAGTAGAGCTGTCCTCTTACGAGAGTGTCCGCTCAGAGAGCTTCCACTGTATCTGTAGTTCAGTTCCTAGACTCTCTGTATATGCTAAAAGTCCCTGAAAACAGTCCCCTCGTGTGAAAAACTACAGGTCCCGAAGACAAGTTCTCCCTCCGACCTTTCTGGTTTAGGCTCTTACATTTTTTCCAATAGTTTGAACTAATGGAAAAAATGTTAAAACATTTATTTTGCATTTTAGTGAAAAGAAGTTTCGATGAGCTGTACAAGAGTGTACAAAGCGGGAAACCCGTGTAGCTCTCGTAGATATCTTCAGCACTCCACAGCACCGCAGTTACTATGATAAATACACGCTTTATGTGGCAACAGTCCTGAATGAGCCCGTGATCTATGGAGCGGTGTTACCCAATGGCACTGAGACCATAAGGAAGTGTTTCCTGAGTTACCATGACAACCATCAGCTGGAAATACACGCGATTGTTGAAAAGTTTCTCAAATCAGAACAGGTTAGACAACTGACTGGTATGCAACAAGTACTGAAATGTGTTTGTTTAATGCTCTATTTTTTTGCTGAAATGTTCGCTAGACTCAGAGCAGTTCACTAAAATTATGCTCAATTAACGTGTTTATTTCACAATCTAATTTATGTTCCTAACAAGGCGCAAAAACAATTCCAACGTAAAAAGCTGACCTATCCTCAGTCTTCTGCAACCTCATTCCCAGGGTCTCTCTTCTTCCCGCCAAAAGCGAGGGCTTGACGTTTAAAAGTTTCCATTTTCCTTTTCTCTGAAAAAAGTTACTTTTCAGAAGTGGTTTAAACTTGCATCAGCAAAAACGTCACTAGCATGCTAGCAGTTTCCTTACTCTTTTATCTCACTAAAATGCTAGCATATTAAATGTACAAAAGCCCTCCCTTGCACTTTTTGGCTCGCGCTAATTCACAGCTAGGATAGTTTCTAAAACGTGTTTAACGTTTTGTTTTTGTTGTTCTATTTTAGTATGGCGGTGATGACTCAAGCTCTGGAACCGAGTATTTTGAAGGCAGTCTGTTTGGTTACACGGTGTACGGCATGTTTTGGTTTGTTTATGATCTCTTTAGCTGTTGGCCTCGTCTGGCAATATTTCCCGCGCGCGAAAAAGGAACACGAATTGCAAACGAGAGCAGGTAAAGAACCACAACTAAAAGTTGCTTGTTGCAATTGAATTTTAAAATAACGTCAGGTAAGGCAAAGCCGCTCGGTCAAACTGGCCTACACTGCGCGCTGGAGTTTATCCCGTTAACTGTCTTGCCCAAGAACACTGACAACAATGAACAATGACCCAGCCAGCACTCGAACCCGGACCGCTCGATCCGGAGTCCAACGCGCTAACCATTAGGCCACCGCGTAGACTGCAAAACAGTCCGTATTTTCGCGCGAGAGTGTCGGGCTGAACGCGGCCGAAGGATCTGGAACGAGCGTGAAATTACGAGTGGGATTGGGGAGAGACGCTATAAATACGGACTGTCGCCTTTCTTACGAGGCTCGCGCGTGGATTATTGGCGCTTCGCGCGTCGCGCACAATATCTCGAGAAAAAGAGAGACTGTTTTGCAGTCTAGCCACCGCGTCAGTTCTACTTCTCTAGTACTGTTCTTGCCAAGTAACGTGAAATTCAGTTTTACTACTGACGAACTTGGAGACCGGTAAGGGGCGGGGGTTCCCCTCGGAGATTTGAGTGGCGTGCCGCCCGGGTCTCGAAGTCCATACCCTAATGTTTAGACCCTATAATTTTCATATTTGTAATAAAATGGTCTTTGGTCACGTTTGATAAAATCCGAGGACATTTTTTGTTTGTTTCAGAACTTGTCTTTCACCTCAGTTTTTCGCCAGTTCATGACCCATAGTAACAAGATGTTGAATCAGCTTGTTCTCTCTTGTAATCCCTTTCATCGTGCCCGATTTCACGCCAAAGGGCTAAATTGTACCCTAAACTTCAGAGAAAAATGAAACTATAACCATATTCCAGACTGTAAACATCTTAAAATCCATACCCTTAAGGGCGGCACATATCTTTATGGCTTATTTAGAGAAGTTCAACAAAGACAATTTTTCTGTTATTTCATTGGAGGCGGCCTGATGGTTTAGTGCGTTGGACTCTGGATTGAGCAGTCTGAGTTCGAGCTTTGGCCGGATAATTGTGTTGTGGGGGCCCGGTTACCTCAGTGCAATGGACTAGCATCCCATGCAGGGGAGTAGTGATACTCTTGCCTATTCCCAGGCCTCTATATTTCGCCGCGGTCAATCCGTTTCGGGTCACGCGGTCCGAGCGAAAAAGCCGTTCGTCTCGGATACGTCACCGAAACGAATTGACCGTGAAGGCCTGGGAAAAAGCCGTACAGGAACTAGGCAAGTGATACTCCTAGTCGCTTCATGCCATGGAAACCGAAGTTAAACGCCGGCCTGGTAAGACACTTGGCCACAAGTAGACAAACTTCAACCTTTTTTTATTTCATTCATTAGGAGAACAACAAGATGTTAACATGTCTAAACCATCCACAACCAAGACTCACAACGAAGTCGAGGATCAAGATCATAACAGACGTGTCTCATCAAACTGCAGCGAGCATACAGAGCGACTCGTGGCCGCTCAAAGCGCTGAACTTCTTGCTATAGAGGACGAATTCAAAGCTTTCCGCAAGAGTTGGGAAAAGAACTTCCGCTCTCTACAGGAAAGACACAAGAAAGAACAAGAACGATTGTTTGAGCTTGACAACTTTGGCTATGAAATGTGAAGGAATTGTAACTGAATAACATAAGCCAAAAGGCACTGACTGAAAACACAGAACAGTAACAGACTTCTAAAATGCATGCATTGCCTATTGGTCAGTTGGTGTCCTGTCTATCTGAAACGAGATGAAATAATTCAAAAATATGTACCCCACCCTCGCCCCACCCAAAATATAAATTTGTTGTGAATGCAATTTTTTAAAGCAATTGCAAATTAAGCCTGAAAAAAATTCATGCTTCAACGGGTTTTGAACCCGTGACCTCCTCGTTACTAGTGCGATGTTCTACCGACTGAGCTATGAAGCAACACACTGGAAGCAGGTCGATAAGGAAATCGATTTAATGTAAAATCATCAGGTTTTGTTGAAATAATAAACCGCACTCATCTTTTCCATTTTTCTTCCACTGTATTGATCATCATTTATTCATTCCGTTCTATTTGATAATTTTGGAGCGCCATCGGCAAGAAAATTGAAAACTGAGCTGCCTCGTACCCAGGCGCCGCTTTTTTTATACGCGGGAACTTTCGGAGTATGGGAAGTGCTTAAAAAAAGCGAATCTCGAAGCGAAGGTTACGCCTTCCCTTGTCCCTTTGCGCTTTGCAAGTTATGAGAGCATTGGTTTGGATTTTATTTAAGAGAATGTATGGGAAGTAGCCCCCAACCCCCCACCCCACCGTGCAGTGTTTTATCGGGTATAGGACTTCGCCTCGTGTCTTTATACCTTATACAGTCTTGATTACTTTCAAGGTCAGTCAGTACAGCAGCATATTGGATCATTTTAATTTAATATTTCTCAAAAGATTGCGTGACAGAGAACATTAATACCAATACAAGAGCTTTTAAAGCATTTAATACAACTGAATACGGCTACTGGTTGTCCCGAAATTAATCTAAAACTGCCGCGCAAAAAAGGGTTCTTTACAACTGTACAGATTAGTCAGCAGCAGCACTGACACCTTGCTTGATAATTAACTTATTTACGCGAGTTTCCTTTACATCAACTCCTCCTCCTCACGACTAAAAATACTCGCTGCATATTAAAAGACGGTCATGTGTCGTCCTCTAGTTGTGAATTTTGATTGGTCGCTCAAGGAAGCTATACCGTGACCGCTTGGGAGCCTTGTTGATGTGGTCCAGTCCAAGCCATGGTTTGCTCATACTCTGAGCTCCTGAAGAAAGAAACAAGAAACGTTTGCGAGAATGTAATTAGAAAACTCAGTCACTTCTGAAGGATAAATGTAGTAGCGGGATGGTATCAAACTCAGATCCGCCATCGTAGAACGAAATCAATCGAATCACAGATGAGAGAAGAAAATAGTAAACACATTCGAAGCTCTCTGAGCGGACACTCTCGACACTCTCTTAAGCGGACAGCTCTACTTACGGCCGCCTTGACAGAACCCCGTTTGAACTCTAGGTAAGCGGCCAGCTCCAGTTGCGGACACTTTTTCTGCTTCCGAGGGAGTCCGCTTACGGGAGCTTCGACCGTAGTAAATAGTGCAATAAGCCAACCGAAATTTCAACCAAACGTGTAACCGCTGTCAAGGGCGGGAAAAGTCGCATACGATTTTTGCATTTGATTGGTTGAGAAGATAAACTCTTCGCTCTGATTGGTAAAGCAAGTTGCACGAGTTTCCCGTACCAACTAAACGGAGTATCAACGAAAAAACAAAGTGAAAAAGCGAAAAAGCGTTCCATCTTCTCATTGCAAGTTAGGAGTTAACGTACCTGGTGTTTGGGGTAGAAAATCCTTGACTGAAATAGGTTTGTCGGATTCTGAAACAAAAACGAATGCACACAAAAAAATGAGGAGCTATAAATGTGAGTCTACGTCAGAAAAAAACGGCTTGATAAAAGATTTCTGTGTTTAAAAATTCTAAGAATAAAAGAAACAACAGGTATAAATAGATACCTTCTGGCAGGTATATGGCTCGTCCCAGGTGAATAACTGCAAACTTAACCTAGAAGAGAAATGAACCCATTAAATGGTAGTCTGCTCGGGAGGAAAGCGTTGCGTGACGAGCTAAATAAAGGCTGCGAAGGAGACTAGTTTAAATGGCAGCAGGCAAACACCATGCAATTTCACGCACAAGCCCAGTGTCTGTCTGTCTGTCTGTCTGTCTGTCTGTCTGTCTGCCTGACCTATCATGGTCTATCGATACCCAGACGGTTGGTAGCCTCCTATACAGACATTTCGTTGGCTCGTCCAAACTTTGTTTTTTGTTTTTTTTAATGCATCAAAAGTTTATTCACACAATTCCAATCACACTTACATAAATCACTTACGCTACAGTACTTAAAAAAAAACAAAGAAAAAGAAGAGAAAAAAAAAATGAACATCACTTAGTTATTTAAATGCCAAAAGGTAGTGCAATACTCACATTACAGACAGTCCCATTAGTTGAATATATCTAGTTTTACACGATTATAAGTTTTACTTACATTTTTTTTTCGTCCAAACTCTTGAAGAACGGAATTCCGTCTCCGAGAAGTTGCTAAGCAATATGACATGACCTTATATGGCATCATGCTCACGTGAAAATTTTCGGACAACTTTCGGAGTGCTCGGGCTATTTTTTGATTGGACAATAAGAATCGGGAACTCTTCGGGAACTAGCACGAAGGTTTGGAGAAAACGGCACTTGCTGCCCCATCTGCAGAGGATAACTCGCGCCATAGTTCATCGCGGGAAATGGTTATGAAGCCCGGCAAACTTCAAGAAGGTCCATGACCCTGCACAATCTTTTGTTTTGGCGCTCATACACTATGCATGAATTACGTAACCGAAACGTTTCTATTGGTTAGTTGCTTGAACAAACGTAAACACATATTGTATTTTGTCAGGCTTCCAAAAAGCGAACAAAAACATATCAGCTTACTTTTTCGAATTCCTTCTCTTGGATGTCTATCTTTTCCTTTACTCTTTCTTTTAACTTGTTTACTGGTTCTCCCTGGAAACAAAATATCAAGTATTAAGTGAATACAGATTCTTGTTGTGTGAAAAAATGGCGGGAAATAGAAGTGTCCAGACGAGAATATAGGTACACTTACATCAGTTATTCTGATTAAAAATGGATTTCCAAATGTCTGATATATTTCCTGTTGGAAAAAAGAAAAAATAAATAGTAAAAAATTAAATTAAGAAAAAAAATCAAACAAAACGATTTTTTGGAATAAAAAAATAAAATTCCAGAGTATATTCACCTTATTGAAATGCGCCACAGGGACCAACATTTCATCTTTTCCTAGTTCTAATTCATCCTCGGGAATTTCCTGAAAAATAAAGAGATTTCATCACAAATTAGGTCCGCGACAGACTTGGAAGGTACCTGGGTTTTCCCTAATGCGCCCGACATCCCCCCCCCCCCCCCCACCCCGAAGACGTTTACACTAACACACAGCAAGCTTACCTCTATTCTAAACGTTCGTTGTGATTGGCTGATGAGATGTTCCAGAGGCACATCATTACTAACCATGTTGAACACTTTAGAGCTGATAATCTCTAGAAGTCGAAGTTTTCCTGTGCCTTCTGGCTGTAACTCCACCTGTTCGCGAGCCTCGTTGAGAAGGTCTGACACATTGCCGTCTTTGTTTAGAAAGAGGATGAGTTCTCTCTCCACCTTGAACTGGTTGGCGACCCAGAAGCATCTGAATTGTCTCTTGTTCTCGAGTTGGTCTATAGGAATAGTAAGGACTTGATAGTAGAGTTTCTTGGGTCCACGTGGCTTGTAGTAGATCAACAGATCTCGCAGCGTTCCTTCGTACGTGCATCGCAGAGCGTTACCTGGTGCGTCACGATATCTGAAACATGAATAACAAATTAGCTACAAACGGACTTCACCACAGGCACATGGAGCAGTTCAGTTTCAATTGAGTGTCGTAAACATGCTTTGCTTCGGTTTTGCTTTACCATGCTCTTTGATTGGTTCAAAAAAACTCGCGCCAATTTCTTAACCAATCAGATGCCAAACTAAAACCAATTGTGACTTGGTCGCCGGCCACATGTGTTTGCTTCGAGTTCAGATTGGTTCCTTGTGTTGTCTTCGTCTGTTGTGATTGGCCAGTGATTACTTTGGTTTGGTTTTACTACACTCTATTGAAAACCGCTCTAGCGTTCAAAAACAAGCACGCAGTTAACGGCGTCTCTCTTCGGGCGCTTAATTCTTCCCCGGCTCGAGACAAATCTTAGAAGAGAGACGTCTATTGACTGCGGCTACATGTAGCAAGAAATCAAATACTAGTGACTTACGCTTGTCCCTTGAAAAACTGCAGCATCATGGGATCGACCTCAAGATTTGATGCCACAGCCCTGGCAACCTAGACAACAGAAACACAGTCAAGGTAAATGGACTGGACGATGGACGATTCTTAATTCCCTTTACAATGGCTGTGGAAATGAAAGAACACGCCATACCTGCATGTAGTTCATTCTTAGCGAAAGCGTTACGCTGAAGCCAGGGTCGTTTACCAACATTCTTGTCACAAAATACAACTTCAACTCTGTTGTGAAGATCTCTGTAAAATAATAATATAATAATAATAATATTTAGTATTTATATGGCGCAAATTAACATATGAATATGATCAAATGCGCCTAAAATAACGACAACAGCAGCATGTACATGCATCAATACTCAATTTTACCCTGAGATGGGCAAACTACTATTGAGGATGTGGAGTTGTCGAGGTCTAATGTGGGTTTGAGTTTGCAAGGTGTTGGGTTCAAGCCCTCCCCCGGCTAGGTGGATTTTGTTCATGGTAGCTGGAGTCCTGAATTCAACTCCCAGCCTTAAAATACCGTATGTGTCTTCCCAGCATTTTGTCAGGTTGTCTTAACAATTCGCCGGTACCTATTTATACTCCTGGGTGGAGAGAGGCAATGTGAGTTAAGTGTCTTGCCCCAAGAACACAAAACACCTCGGCCAGCGCCCGATCTAGAGTCCAACTTGCCAACAGACCACTGCGCTACCCACGGCGTATACCGTTTTCTACATACATTACATCTTGAGCAATGAAATGTGCTTTAAATGGATTACCTGAAATAATCTGATACTGTGGGCAATTCACTTGCACTGAGCACATCTTGTTCGCATCTACACATAACAAGAAAAAATTGGCAAGAACATCTTCAACAAGCTAAACAAAACAGGTACAAATCTTGAAAACCAATAACAATTACATGCAGAAAAGCTAGATCCCGACCAAACCAGTGAATAATGATTCACAATGTGAGTGCTCTAATGATCTGCATACGAGAAATAAAAGGATGGACAACTACAAACCTTTGAAAACAGATAATGTCAC